AGTCTAATAATTATACCAAATGTGAAAATCTGAAAGATTCTCATTCTCACCTCTGAGATTATCTCATACCAAACGCCCCAATAAGGATTTCGTTAAGAAAGGGTTGAATCCCTTAGAGCATAAGCCAAATAAGTACATCAAGGATGAAGATTGGAAGGGGTTGTGTGAAAATTGCTTTGGTAATTAGGAATGGAAGGTAAGTAATAATCTTAGTTATGAGGTTTACAAATGTAGCAAGTGTACTAACAACTACATACATGCATTGAAAGAGGAAATATTTTACAAGGATGGGGCTATATTCGTGGCCTCTGCATTATAGTCTATGTATACCTTGGTATCATTATATACTCTAAGCATGTACCCCTTATAGTCTATATAGCTTTTTGATATCCATATAGACGTCCTACAAATAAGAGCAAGTGTGCCAACAGCTAATTGCCAATTTTGATATATAAATTGATGTGAGGAGTGTTTGTATATTAAGATATATTTTGTTTTCAGGATTATGTGCTTAAATTTTTTTTGGAATATAGTTGAAATTATAGGGGAGAAGGAGATGATGCATTTTTGCAAAATTTAAAGTTGTGAGCCACTTTTGTTGTATTTTAATATGTTTCCTAATTCTATAGAAGAAGTCAGTTTCAACATATATAAGAAATTCAGGTAATTTATTTTGTTTGAATTGATTTTACTTTGCAAACATATATTACTTTTTTACATGAATAAATAATTAATATTGTGTATGTAGAAGACACAATCTAGTACAGCCTCAACAGGATCGAGAAAATACATAGAAGTTTATAGGATAACTTATTGGACTGCTAAATGGGGATGGCAAAGCAACCAAGCAAAGATAGAATACGTAAGATTGCATTAGTCTTATAGTCACTTAGTTTATCTATATTTTTGTTTTGTTTTGTTATTCTTTATTCATTTCTAACACTTTCAACAGCACAGAATCATATGGTTGAGCTTTATGAAGAACGTCTAAGTGAACTACCTGAAGGTTCGCAACTCAACTCCGATTTTTTAAGTATATTAGCCTTGTTCGTTTCGCTGATTTGAATTTAAAATTTGAGTTTTGTTACAGTAAAAAACTCTCATAAACAGTCACATCTAATTTTTTTTGTTACAATAAAAAGCTCTCACATAAAATCTCAACTCGAATTTTAAACTCAAATCAGCGAAACGAACGAGATTTAAAAATTCTTTTTTGAGACATGTCCTTAATACCCTTTTAATTAATTAACTTTGGAATTAAGTTAAAAAAGAACGTTCTAAAAATATTTGAAAGCATTAAAAAAAAAAAGAAAGAACGCCTTCCTCCCCTGCTTCGTAAAAAACCCGCAAACCAATTTGATATTGAGACAAGATTTCATAGCAACTGCATTGTCTTCAAAATAATTTTTAATGAATCAGAACCAAAGGAGGAAAAAAAAAAAAAAAAAAAAAAAAAAACCTCCAATGAAAAAAAGGAAAGATAAAAGAAACCCAAATCAAAAGTTCAAAACAATCAAAACCAAACTCAAATCAACAAACTTAAAATCGAAATCAAAGCACTCTTCATCATCTTTTCTTCTAGCAAACGGAGATCTGAATGCTCTCAGAGATTGCAAATCTAAACCGAGAAGGAGTCTGAGAAATCATAATTACACAATTAATTAAACTCATTAACCTTATCTCACTAAATGTAAAAATCTCCTTCATCTTCCATCTGATCGTTCACAAAGAGAGAACCACCAAATGCTTTGTATACATCTTCTCCAAAATCGTAATTCGGAGCACAATCTTACTCATCTTCCATCTAATCGTTCTCCGATCGAAATCCCCCGAAATCAAGCTCAAATCCAAGATCGGATTACAAACCCAAACCCAGACCCAGAAGGCGATTTGAAAAACCAAATTTGACGAGGAAGGAATAAAAGAATGCCAAACCGTCTGATCCAAAAGTCTCGCTGGAGCCAAAGAAGGCTAGAAGCCTAGAACTTCTTTGCGATTGGGAGGAGCAGCGAGCAAGTGGAAGGGAGAAATGTAGGGGATGGGTGGGGAGACAAGTTTCTGGGTTGATCGTTTTTAGTTCTTTTTTTTTTTTAATAGTTTTTAACATTTTCAATAAATATTTTATATTTAAACTTAATTGTCGAGAAAATTAATTAAAATGGTATAAAGCATGTTTTAAAAATTAATTTCGGGTATCTGAAAAATGTTTTTCTAAACATGAGAGTACTATTTTTTATATTATTAAAAACACAGTATATAAAGAATAAGTTTCATTATACACGAATATTAAAATAATTTTATTCCATTACAAAATAAATAAAGAAAAAAATACAAAAAAATGGTGGTAATATTAAGATATCAGTTGTTTCATAAATTTAAATTATTGTTTAAATAATTTTTGTTATTGTATATTTTCTCACAATATTAAAATTTTTATTTAATTTTTTCTGTTTAAATTTACGAACACATATACGGAGGAAGCATGATGATTACGCGTATAGTTGTCAAATGGACCGGGCTGTCCATGGACGGCCCGACCCAGCCCGTAACAATGCCGGATTTGGCACGGCCCGGTACGGTACTATTACAGGCCGTGTCGACTCGACACGTTTGATGGGCTAGGGCTGGGCCGCGGCTTCTCAGCCCGCGGCCCAAGCTCAGCCTTAGCCCGTGAAGGCCCGCGGCCCAACCCAAGCTCAGTTTGGCCTAAGCCTAAATTCGGCCCTTGTTCGGCCCGGCCCAGGCCTGCGAAACGGCCGGGCAAAAAGCCTTCCAGTCCGTGAGGATTGTGATCGTTGGGCCCTTTGCAGGCCCAACGGTCACAATCTGAAAAAATCCTCAAAAATCCCTTATAAATACCCTTAAATCCCACACAACAATTCACTCTTAACTTCTCATCTCACTCTCATTCTATCTCTCATCTTGTCTCTTTGATTTTGATTCTAAACTTTTATCTCACAATCACTCATTTTTTTACTCTTTCATTTACAAAGTTTAAGTTCAATCAATTTTCAAAAAATGGCCGTATCAAACTTCCCTGATTTCACTGCTCTCCCCAAGCTTGGTGATGAGCCATTTTTCGAGGATGAAATGATGACTCAGAACCCCACCCCCATTGAACCGAAAAATGCTCCGATTGATAACGCTTCAGTGCACAACGAGGAAGTTGGAGAATGCAGCAGGGAAAAAAGACTGCAAACTTCTCCTACATGGCAGTATTTCACAGAGGAGCTCCGACCAAATCCAAAAACAAGCGAAATAGAAATTCGTTTGGGTAAGTAGAAACACAACTCGTTCTGATTGCATGAAAGTGTTTTATGCAATAAGACAATCTCTAGTTGATAATTTTAGGTCTTTTAATGCTACTGTATATTGTACTTCTGATCTATGGGATGGGTGTAATAAAACTGGATATTTATGCGTTACAGCGCATTATGTTGATGATGAATGGGTTTTACAAAAGAGAATAATAGGTTTTCGTTTATGTCCATATCCTCATAACGCAAATGTTATTTTTGAAACAATAATGGAAATTTTTGGGTTTTATAGGATAGAAGATAAAGTTTTAACTATTACTTTTGATAATGTATCAGCTAACACGACTGTAATTAAAATGTTTAAACGTAGTTTGAAACCAGCGTTTGGGGGGGGGGGGGGGCTTCGCTAAGGTTTTGTCCTAATCTCCCCACGGGTTTTACTTGACAAGGTTTTAACGAGGAAGTCATTTATGTGTACTTGTTCGTATTATCTCAATTTAATAAAATTACATCTTTTAAGGGCATATGATATATTTTCTTTTGTTTAATTAAATTTTACAAAAAAAATTAAAAGAGTCAAGGCCGGCCTGTGAAGGGCATGGGCCCAGACCCAGCACTGGTCCTTATGGACTAGCATGTGCCTGAGAGTTTCTCCTCAGGCTCGGCCCTGCACTGTGCAGGGCCGTGCCAGGCACAACCCAGGCCTGCCACGGGCCTGGGGTCGGACGTGCCATGCCGGCCCGGCACGGCACGTTTGACAACTCTAATTACGCGTCTTCTTTCTCACTGCATGAAGAAAAAGAAAGAAGCACATGGACATGGGGCATGAAACGTACAACATGTGTTCAGTTTGGTGCACATAATTCATTATTAACAATGGGGTACTAGTGCATAGAAGTTACATGGACATGGGGCATGAAACGTACAACATGTGTTCAGTTTGGTGCACATAATTCATTATTAACAATGGGGTACTAGTGCATAGAAGTTCTGGGTTTTAATTAAGGGGAATATCTCTAATAGGATTAAAAAAATAAATTATTGATAGTTTTTTACCTTTTAATTATTAGTTTTGTATTAGAATTAATCTGTTTTGTATATTTTTTTAATCTAATTTAATTTTAATTAGATTTAACAGTTAAAAATTACCACTATTAATAAAAAGACTTACCGAAAAAAGTCTCCTACTTAAAAGGTAAAACGATTGATAATTAAAAAGTAAAACTAAATCCACTCACCATAAAAGACCCACATATTAAAGAAAACGCTATGGAGTTTTTTTGGTATGACAAAACAAAAAATTATCGGTAGTTATTTATTTTTTCAGTCGTCAAATCTATATCAGTAACTATTTATTTTACATATTTTTTAATCTGATGTAATTTTGATAAGATTCAACGATTAAAACTGACACTACTAATAAGGAGGCCTATCACAAAAAATCTCTAACTTCTTTTTCTCTTAGCATCTTTTCTAATTCTTTTATTATTAGTTTTGAAAATATCTTCAAAAGTTGAATTTTGTAGATGTAACTAAAGCTAGTATATTTTCCAGAAAAGAATAACTAAAGGAACCCTTCGGCCTAAAATAAAGGTACCGCTCCAATAATTGAGCAACAACTATCTTCTATACATAACGTTGAGGCGCTGGAGCATCTCATCCACAAATTTCTCTCATGTTTTCAACAGTAGGAATTGCTCATCACCACTACACCCCTTTTTTTTTTTTTTTTTTCTGAATGCCAAATTATATCATAATCACACATGTGTGTAAATATATATATATATGTATGTATATATATAAAAGACAAACATAGTACTATGATGTAGTGCATTTATAAACGAGTAATTGAGCCACAAAACCAAGCCCAACCCTTTCTCCTCCCCCTCTCTTTGCCTTTGAGACCACTCCAATGGAGGAGAATAAGCAGCCACTCCTTTCCACAAGAGGAGAACAACAAAACAATAACCCTTCAACGAATAACACTTCTTCACAAGCTTCCTCCTTCACCCCCGGTGCTGACGACATCCCGCCAATCGGTGGCGTCCGGGACTTCTACAGAGAGTTCTGCGCGGAATCAAAGAGGCTCTGGTACTTGGCCGGCCCTGCCATCTTCACCACCATATGCCAATACTCCCTCGGCGCCGTCACCCAAGTCTTCGCCGGCCAGGTCGACACTCTCTCCCTCGCCGCCTTCTCTGTCGAGAATTCTGTCATCGCCGGATTCTCCTTCGGCGTCATGGTAGGCAATTAATGCGTCAGTTTAAAAAAAATATAAGAAAGTTTTAACCGTCAGAATTTCATCAAGTTCTGTAACTAAATATGAGTTTATGGTTTATAAGCTTGGCATGGGTAGCGCTCTGGAAACTCTGTGCGGACAAGCGTTTGGAGCAGGTCAGCTCGATATGCTTGGGATCTATATGCAGCGGTCGTGGGTGATTCTTAACGGGATGGGCCTAGTATTGTTGTTCCTCTACATATTTGCGGAGCGGCTGCTGAAGCTGATCGGGCAGACGACGGAGATATCGGAGGCGGCCGGGGAGTTGGCCATATGGATGATCCCTCAGCTGTTCGCGTACGCCGTGAACTTTCCGATCGCCAAGTTCTTGCAGGCGCAGAGCAAGATGGCGGCGATGGCGTGGATAGCGGCGGTGGTTCTGGTGCTCCACACCTTCTTCAGCTGGCTGCTGATGCTGAAGCTGGGGTGGGGCCTTGCCGGCGGCGCCGTGGTGCTGAACGCCTCATGGTGGTTCATAGTGGTGGCGCAGCTGGTTTATATTTTTAGTGGGACTTGTGGGAGAGCTTGGTCGGGGTTTTCGTGGAAGGCGTTTCAGAATCTGTGGGGATTTGTTAGGTTGTCTCTTGAATCAGCCGTCATGCTCTGGTAATACGATATTTCTTTACTCTTTTCTCATTTAAAAAAAAGAGAGGCAATCAGTTAACCTAAAAAATAATCAAATTATAGCGTGAAGCTGGGAAAAAGCTATTATATATCCATAATATCCGAAAGTTAAAAGGGAAATGATAGCTTGTTGACTAAAAATGATCAGTGATTTCCTCTTTTCGTTGGAAAAGTGATCGGAGCTTTAATGATGTTCTACTCTTACTTTTTAAAGGTGTGTCTAGTTAAAATTATTTTTGATTTATATATATTTATTATGAAAAAAAATATTATAACGAATCATAAATTATAATTTAAATTAAAAAATAAATTCATTTACTAAACATTATCTAAATCATTATCTTATTGTTGCACTTATCATTTCATTGTTGTAAGAAAAAGAAAAAGAAAAAGAAATTGAAAAATATTTAAATATATAATATTATCTTCACTTCATAGCTAGACACGAGCACACCATGCAAACAACAGAGAAAAAACAAAAGAACTCCTGTATGAAAATTGAAACTCATGCTAGCAGACAAAACATTTGATTTAATTTGTGAGGGACTAAAATTAGCTGTGTAATTTTTAATCTCAAATAATTTTTAAGCAACTATATTATACAGCATCATTTAATAAACTCAAACATTAATTTACGAAAACGTGTAAAAATTACCAATGAATTAATTTATGAACAGAATCTATTAAGCCTAGTATCTATGACCTATTCCAGATCATATCTATGGGTTATTATTGTTACTCACTTTTTTCTACATGATTGCATATCTTTTTTCTTTTTTTTTTTTTCTCGTTTGATTAGATCCTTGTTCGCATTTTAGGTTTTTTCCTTAACTCTTGTGCAGTTTGGAAACGTGGTACTTCATGGCACTTGTTCTCTTCGCTGGATATCTAAAGAATGCAGAGATTTCGGTGGATGCTTTGTCTATATGGTAAGCAATTTTGCATAATATAACACATCTTCATCAAAACCGTCATAATTTAAAGCCCTGAAAAGTTAAGCAATTATCATGATTAGCACCACATATGAAACTAATTAGCCGCATCAGCATTGTCACACAAATTAGAGAAGATAGAGACTAAATAAATCTTATAATTGTAACGTGGTGGTTCAACATTCATTTGTTATTTTTAAGAGTATTTTTATCCATTTTTATAGGATTAAAAGCCGCTACTCATGTAAGATTAATCTCACTAAACAGGTAAATGAGATCCAATCTAATAAGACCCACTTTTTGTAAGTGATAAGATTTTATCCTCGTAGGGAAGAATACCATTTTTCTTTTCAATTATAAAGTTTGTGGACTGATCACATGGTGCACAGTAAAATAAGAATTGTCGCATGAAAATAGAATTATGGTGGACCCCCACCGAATTTCATATATATTTAGAAAGCCACTAAAAGTCCAGATCCCACCGAGTTTGTATACGAATTAGACAAAAATGGGGTTTTCGTGTATGATTTGAAAAGGCCATCTAGCTAGCTGCTAACCTGCAAATATGAGATGACGGCATGTTGTTTCTTGTTAGCTCTTGTTTGTTTACGATGCGGTTGTTGACCAAACCGCCATGTCTCCTCCACTTCTGTATTTTAAAAACATGTAAAAATGCACCACCTTTTTTATGTAAAATGATTAATGATGTAATCAGATATTAAAAATTAATACAGTATCAATAAATTACTTTTTCGCACCTTAGTGCTAAAAACACTTATTAAGTTCATGCCAATTCTTCTACATTAAATGCATGAAGATTTGGGTGCTTTTGAACGGAAATTAGAAGTTGAGTTATTATTAAAAAGATTTCCGAATTTCCTGATTCAATTGTCCACGTTGTTTAAGGTTTATGGCTATTTCCATTATGAGTAACTAGTCCTATAACTCAATTAGCTAATTATTGTCATTTTGTTCTCAAAACAACAATTCGTTTCCACGCTTAATCTCACCAATATGTGGATATGACAGCCAGCAGTGGGAAGAAACGACAAACTGATCTAAAACTTGAATGAGTTTTGCTACAGTGCAAATCCATCCATGATTTTGGTTTTGTTATAGAATTTTTTTCTCACAAAAAACTTAAATTTTAAAAGTCACAATTAAAAATCTTAGTTTGAATTTATATATCAAACGGGCCTTAAATGTCTCCACCAAATGAGTAGACTAAAGTCATGATAGCGGGGGGACAAAAGATATCTTCGATCGATACAAATGCTAATTTAAGCAAAAACAAAAGGTAATAATAAAAAAGATTCAGCGTGAGAAATATCTGAGTTTTATTATCGGGTATAATATGAGAGAAAGAAGTCAAGAACACAGAATTCATGAGCTACCAGTACATATATGGGGCAAAACTAGCAGTTGGGCACCGCGGAAAAAGTTGCTTTCAGAGTACTGAAAAGAGAACAAATCAAAGAAAGCGTGTGATATATATAGTCTATGTATCAAATGGTAGTTATGGAAAACACATAATAATAATAATAATAATAAAAGAAGTCAAATTCTCACTAATTCTGATATTTGAATCTTAGATCTATAATAATTAACTTATGTTTATTCAAAGTCAATCTTGTGACACATTACTATGTGCTCATATTGGATTAATATTGAATTTTGCAGCATGAACATATTGGGATGGACAGTCATGGTAGCTATTGGCATAAATGCAGCAATAAGGTCAGTTTCACGCAGAATCACAATATTAGGAGACGTTTGGTTCATAAATTCAGAATCATGATTCAGAACCATTCTCGTTTTACGTGTGTTTTTTGTGAGAGAAAAACACTGTAAAGAATCATGAATCATAATTCAGAATCACTGATTTCCATTAGATCAAATTATATATCGGAGAATGATTTATCACAACAACATATATGTGTCCATCATTACAGGATTTATGATCATGTAATCAAGTGTGTTGTGATTTTAGTGTGAGGGTATCCAATGAGCTAGGAGCGGCTCATCCAAGAACAGCAAAATTCTCGTTAGTGGTGGCAGTGATAACTTCATTCGTACTTGGTGCCGTATTATCACTTATCTTGATCATCTCTCGAAAGGTGTATCCTTCACTTTTTTCAAATAACACAGAGGTCAAGACTCTTGTTAAGCAGCTCACCCCGATTTTAGCCTTTTGCATTCTCATCAACAACATTCAACCCGTTTTATCTGGTAATTATATATAGTTGGCATATAATTAAGCGTATATATACATACATATATAGATGTTGATATATATATATATATATATATCTTAGGTCATTTGATCAAAATTTATTGGTACTAAAACTTGTATATATGATTTGGGAATTTCAGGGGTAGCCATTGGAGCGGGATGGCAAGCTGCTGTAGCTTATGTGAACGTCGCTTGCTATTATCTATTTGGGATACCTTTGGGTCTTTTAATGGGATATAAGCTCAACATGGGTGTTACAGTAAGTACATAGATGCCATTTTTTTTAGAAGTAAATAAATAAAGGTTTTTAACTAAGCAATTGTCAACTTATAAGGCTCAATTTAATGTTTTTATTATTTTTTTCTTTCTTTCTTAAGAGTTTAATTTAATGTGCTTGGCGTCCACTTGTGAATTTAATTAACTTTTTTTTTTCCATTGAAATTTTACAGGGAATTTGGAGTGGTATGGTTTGCGGGACACTGGTTCAGACTTTTATTCTTTTCTTGATGGTTTATAAAACCAATTGGAACAAAGAGGTAACGATCTACACAAACTCATGTACTAATTTTTCCATAGCACATCCTAGATCAAATTATTTGCAATGGTTAAAAACTTCACTATTGATAAGTTAAAACTATTTCGTTAAACCAAAAAAAAAAAAAAAAGGGGCTTTTTTTTTGAAATAAATTTTTCCCAAAAATTGTTTTAAAAAAAAAAAAAAAAAAAAAGGGTCTTTTTGTTTGACATCAATTTTTCCACAATGATGTTTTAAAAAAAAAAAAAAAAAAAAAGGGTTTTTTTTGTTGAAATAAATTTTTCCCAAAATATTTTTTAAAAAAAAAAAAAAAAATCCACAATAATATGACTAGTGAAAATTATATTCTCAAACGTGGCATATGAAACGCAGGCTTCCGTGGCTGAAGATAGGATAAGGAAATGGGGAAGGCACATAGATTCCAGAAAAAACGACGAAGAAAGATGAAGAGCAGGGAGATTTCAGTTTCCAAGTGAAGAAGAAAACATGTAGGAGATATTTGTTATGTCTGCAACGTTAAGAGGCCCAACTATGGCACCCTTTTGTTCTTCTTCCAAGTTAGGAAATATATATTATTGTTTCTCTTCAACAAGTCAATCACATTAAAGTTCTCTATTTCTCCATTTTCCTCACTTTTTAAGCTTTTAGTACTCTCTCTCCCCCTCGTTTTCATTATGGTTGGTTGTTTTTCAACAAGATGCACAGATTGATTTCAAAGAAAATAGAGGAAAACCAGACAATATTATTACATTATTACTGCAAAAACAGAGCACACTAAAAAGGACTATGATAGATGCAAACCAAACTGAAAGAAAAACGATGAGATACAGTAAACGACATGAATCTTTGACAACGACAGCTAAAAAAAGAGCTGTAGAACATCATGATACAAAACGACGATTAAATATTCAAAGAACACCAACGAGACACAAGTTGAATTTACAAAAAACTGTATTATGGTGCCCTTTTGATCTTCTTCCAGTTTAAGAAATATATTATTGTTTTTCTTCAACAAGTCGAGCACAATAAAATTCCTCATTTCTCCATTTCCTCACTTTTTAAGCTTTTATTATATTACTCTTTCCCCTGTTTTCATTTTTATATTCTATCCATTTTTCATCAGAACTTCCATGGCAGTGTTAGTCACGTGGGTCTTATTTGACCAGGTTTATATATTTTATTTATGTTATCCGAAGGTTTAGTGTCCTGGTATTTAGGAGTCTGTTATTAGTATTTAGTTTGAGCTTTTTTTTTTTTTTTTGATCGGCGTATTTAGTTTGAGTTTTTAGTGTAGAACGTGGCTTATATTTACCAAGTCAATTGGAGTTTTGTTTCTCCACGTCAAAGTCTGCACGTTAATGTTTGTTAGTGTACGACTATACGACGTACGTTGCTTTTTTCTACGAGTCAGTTCATGTCCGTTGGTGGCCTTGCACGTTGGTTTAGACTCTGCCGATTTAAATCGAATTTTGTTACAGTAAAAAGTTCTTAAAAATATTCATATTTAATTTTTTTACTATAGTAAAAAATTTCACATAAAGTTATATCTCAACTCGAATTAAAAATTTAAATTAACGAACTAAACAGGTCTTTAGTGGTTTAGTGGGTTAGTGGATCTTTTTTATCTGTTGGTTAGTACCTAGTGATTATGTGAGTTAGTGTGTTAGTCGCTTAGTGCTATTTGTTTTTTTTTTTCCGTTGGTATAATTGCCTATAAAAGGCTATCTGATCTATGAATTTATGTCAAAGCATTTCCTTCCTCGTGTTATTCTCTCAATTTTTATTTATTTCTTTCCTTTATTTTTGAAAAAGTGGTATAAGAGCCACTAAAACAAAGTGAGTGAAACCCACTTGAGGAAGTTAGGGAGTGAGTGAAAGAGTGAGAGAGAGAAAGGGAAGTGAGATAGAGGTGTAGCCGGGAGAGAAGTCCCGGTCAAGAGAAAAAGAAAAAAAAAAGAAAGTGAGATAGAGGTGTAGCAGTAGCTTTTTATTTCACTTAGATTATTTTTTGCAGTAGCAAATGGCGTCTGAAATAATATTTGTTGCTCCGACGGTGAGCGTACTCCAGACAAATGTTGCTCCGGGTGAAGCTGTTTTAAAGGGCGAGCACGCTCCAAGCGAATGTTGCTCTGATGGTGAGCTGAGCGAGAAAAAATCTAAAGGAAGGATGCCTGACACGAAAAAGGCTCCTTTAGGCATACTTAGATATGAAGATGATGTTCTGGGAGACATGTCTACCACGGAGGGAGCCTCTCTCCGTTGGAGTCAAAACATTGATAATCAACCTTGATGAGGAGGAAGAGGTTCCAAGACGTGGACTTAGGAATTTTGGGCTTCCGAAATGACAGGAAGAAGGCTTATTGGGAATTCTCCATCACCCATTTGTATTTATCGGGATTCAAATTAGATCGAACTAAACGACAAATATACCTACTTGATCACACATGGCCCACCTAACAACAACTCATGAGAGTTCTCCGAATATGGCTTAAGTCTACGAAGCGGGCCCAATAACGTTGCGTGACTCCATGGCTGAGCCTGGATCCTTAAATGGACTTGGTTCAAAATCAGGTATCAACAAAAATCAATCATCAAATGAATAACTGCTTATGAAAACATAATCATTATATAAATAAAACAAAAAAGTAAATAGACTTTTTGACCTAAAGTAGAGGGACAACTTCAATGGTCAGCATCAGCAATAACTTTTATCTTATATATCCTTTTTCAAATTTCTCTCATTTTTTTCATCAGAAACTTCTCTAGTAGGAATTCACGTTTCTCTATGAAAACAAAATATATCGTTATCATATAGGAAAAAAAAAAAAGAAAAAGAAAAGTATACACTACTGTATGTAGGGCATATATAAAAGAGTGTCATGCTATCCAAGCAGTCCCAATTAGATCAAATTTAGCTGTAAAGCCAAGTCCTAGCCTTTCTCCATCCCTCTCTCACCATCTTTGAGAGTTGAGACCACTCAGTCATCAATGGAGGAGAAAAAGCAGCCACTCCTTTCCACAGGAGGAGAAGATCTCCAAAACAATGATCACTCGGCCGACCAACTAGAAACACTCCTACCAACGACTAACACATCTTCACTCACCTCCTCCTCCACCCTCGATGCCGACGACATCCCACCGATCGGCAGAGTCCGAGATTTCTACAGAGAGTTCTGCACGGAGTCGAAGAAGCTCTGGTACTTGGCCGGCCCCGCCATCTTCACATCCATCTGCCAATACTCCCTCGGCGCCGTCACTCAGGTCTTCGCCGGCCAGGTCGATACTCTCTCCCTCGCTGCCTTCTCTGTGGAAAACTCGGTCATCGCCGGATTCTCCTTCGGCATCATGGTAGCCAATTATGCATAAATTAAAAAAATAATAATAAAATTTTTTAACTGTCAGATTTTCACGAAGTTTTGAATATAATCTATTGTTTATAAGGTTGGCATGGGAAGCGCACTGGAAACTCTGTGCGGGCAAGCTTTTGGAGCGGGTCAACTCGACATGCTAGGGATCTATATGCAGCGGTCGTGGGTGATTCTTAACTCGACGGCCCTAATACTGTCGTTTATCTACATATTTGCGGAGCCGCTGCTGAAGCTGATCGGGCAGACGACGGAGATATCGGAGGCGGCCGGGGTGGTGGCCATATGGATGATCCCTCAGCTCTTCGCGTACGCCATATACTTTCCGATCTCCAAGTTCTTGCAGGCGCAGAGCAAGATGGCGGCGATGGCATGGATAGCGGCGGCGGCTCTGGTGCTCCACACCTTCTTCAGCTGGCTGCTGATGCTGAAGCTGGGGTGGGGCCTCGCCGGCGGAGCCCTGGTGCTGAACGCTTCGTGGTGGTTCATCGTGGTGGCGCAGCTGGTTTATATTTTTAGTGGGACTTGTGGGAGAGCATGGTCCGGGTTTTCATGGAAGGCGTTTCAGAATCTGTGGGGATTTGTTAGATTGTCTATTGAATCGGCGGTCATGCTCTGGTAATATGATTCGTTACCCTTTGTTTTAAGGTTTTAAAAATGCTAAAATCTAAATTAAGCAATGATACTTTATAAAATATAGTTTTGTATGTGAGTCAAAGATTAGGAGAAATACTCGGATATATAATCACAAGACTATGGCTAATGGTACGAATCACCAAGACAACAACCACGATTCAGTTGGCTTATCATAGATCGAAAAGGTCAAATCATATCATGGAGCCGGGAAAAATGAAAAAGAAAAAGAAGAAACAATGAGGCCGTAGGGAACTTGTCTTTAAAAAGTTTTTCACATTTTTTGAGGAGAAAAAAATGAAAACAGTGTAAAAATTGTGTTTGGGAGAACACCATACAGAAATAAAAAATGAAAACGTTTTTGTCTTTATCTCAAAAAGTGAGATATTTCTAAAAACAATCTTAAGACGTTTTCCTTTTCTCCTTGGCTATTTTCTTTCCTTCACCTCTTCTCTGTTCTATTATCCTTTGTTCTCTTTTGCCTTTGATTTCGCCGAGTCTCCTCCTTTTATGTTCTTCTCTCTGATTTCTCTGGTATCCCTCTTCTTCGTGGGGGTGAAGCTAGTGGGTTAGCGTTGGTGGGTCTGCCAATTAGTGTTAGAGTGTTTTTTTCTTTTTTTTGAGTGGTGTGAAATGTGAATAAAGGATTTGATTCTATAAAATAAAATCATTTTAGTACCTTGTGTAATAGATTTATTTACTATTTATTTATAATGTAATTTAAAAAACTAAATACCGATTTGTAGTTGACATGCTTAGGAGTATTTTATTGCTAATGCTAATTATTATGTTCTTATATATAAATTAACTAAAAATATGCGTGTATGGTAATTGGTATCTTAATTGTTTACTATTTACGTATGATTTAGGGAAATAAATAATTGTACTGTTGATTAGAAGTGTGGTATTGGTACGAGTATGATTTAAAAATTTGAACTAGGTCCACGCTTTTCAATTATCAATTTTATATAAAAAACTGTCTGTCATAAATTTTTCTATTTTGATGCATTTTAATTATAAAAAGTCCTATAGTTATTAAAAGTGACGGGTACTTTTTTCTTCTTTTCTTTTTCTGGTGTAAAAAGTGATTGGCGCTATGTTGTTATCTTTCATTATTATAACTTTAAGAAAAATAAATTAAAAAATTTCGTTTAAACACGCATTATCTTCGTTTCATATTAGCTAGGGACGTGTATTGCTCAAACAACATGGAAAAAAGAACCCCTAAATAAAAGTCTACAAAAAGAAAAACAAAATACTCCTGTGTGAAACATAATAGTGGACAACCCATCATTTCAAAAAAAAAAAAAAATGTGGACAAGCAGAGAGAGAAAAGTGGGCAAAAACATAATTTATTAGGTATACAAGAGTTGAGATTTGAGTTCATATCCATAACATTACTCTTTCTATTTTTTTTTTTTTTCTAAAATTCCTATAAAATATACAATCAATTGTAGAGTGAATTCCTTTTACTGTCCCCTAAAAAAAAAAATCTTTCCTTTATGTGTTGAAAAACTTCATCAAGAAACTTCTACTTATAACTTGAGCATGGAAAAGTAATATTTTATTTATGAAAAAACGATCACACGCTTAAGTTACAAGTCTGATTTAGTGACAAGTCTGATTTACATTTTTTGTTTGGAAATATCATACTTAATTTTTAACTGAAGTAAATATCACTCACAATAAAAATAAAAATAAAAATTGTGCTTTGCAATTTGTATATTGTAGAATAAAAGAAACAAGCGATGCGTTAATCTATTGAAATAATCTCTTCTGCGCAAATCTCTGGGTTTATTATTTTTACTATTTTTTCCCTATATGATTGCGTATCTTCTTTTCTCCTTTCATAGATCCTTCTCCTCACATGTGTAAGTAATATCTATTTATAGTTTTTTTTTTTTTTTTGTTTCTGTAAATCTTACGCAGTTTGGAAACCTGGTACTTTATGGCACTCATACTTTTTGCTGGATATCTAAAGAATGCGGTGGTGTCGGTGGCTGCGCTATCAATATTGTAAGTGATTTGCTTTAATTACTTAATCACATTTTTATAAAAGTCATAAGTTAAACCCGTGAAAAGCTAAGCAACTATCTATCATGATTAGAATCACAAATGAAACTAATTAGCCGCATTACTATTGTCACACAAATTACAAAAGACGAGAATAAACCAATACGATTCAGCAGTACTGTAACGTGGTTAGGTCATTGACCAAAAAAAGAAAAAAAAAAAAAAAGAGAAAAAGCTATGTCACGTGGGGTGATGTTATGTTTGTGGGTTCCAAAAAGAAATGACTAATCATAAGGTGCACATTAAATATAAATTGTCATAATAATTCCTCCTTGTGGAGGTGGAAAAGCTCACTGAGTCCTTAATTTGATTAATCATACGGATTAAGGTTATAGAATTATAACTGCCTACAATACAGGATTGAACCCGCAATCTCAAACTCTTCATACAATTAGGAGACGTTTGGTTCATGAATTAAAATCATGAGATTAGAACTATTTTCGATTTACGTGTATTTTTTGTGAGAAAAAACACTGTAGCGAACTATGAACCATAATTCGAATCGGAGTACGAATCCCCCAACTAAACAACCCCTTAGACTCTGAAGAGATTTTAGGCCGGATCCACTGAATTTTATATGTATTTTTGCCACTAAAAGTCCAGATCCACCGAGTTATTATACGAATTAGACAGAATAAGGTTTTCGTGTTAATTTGAAAAGGCCATGTACGTAACCTGAAAATAGATGACGGCTTGTTTCTGTCTCATTAACTTTGTTTATTGCTTATACTGCGCTTGCTGACGAGCGTCTCAACCGCATACTGCCTCCACTAAACACGTATATAAATATAAGCAGTTTTATTAAATCTTACTAACTGTTTTTTCATTTAACATGATTCAAATGTAATTTGGTAATCACAAACAATACTGTACTATCAATAAAATATTTCTTTGGATAGCCAAATATATCTCGCATTAGCTGAAACTAGAGACGTAAAATAAAGCATAATAAAGTTAATTGATTTATTTAATTTAAAGATTTGTATTTTATCTTATATATTTACTTTCATAGTATTTAAAAATTAGATTTAGTAGTTATTTTTTATTTTAAAGTTGGAATTATTTTTAATTATTAATCGTTAGTAGATAAGTTTTAGTTTAAATTATTTGAGTTAAATTAGTATATGATTCAAATTCAAACTCCTGATGTAACTCTTATTTCCTCCTCTTCCTCTGCCACCACGCATCATTATACCTTCTTACCATCAACCCATCTCCAACCACACCACAATTCTTGCCGCACCAATTCTTATAATTATCAAAATTTATTGGCATCACATGCTTCTTGTTATAACAAATATATTCAAACCTTTACCATCTTACCATAATACCCGCCACACCCAGCTTTCATTTATTTTACAGCCTCCTTACACACCAACCATTACCAGCTATCCTCATGTCGCATGGTTAGATCTCACCTACTCCACACACCTTAGTTACTCTTGCCGCATCAACTTCTCTCCTCCCTTTTCAATCCAGCCGCACCAATATATTATTCTCTCCTACATGGCTCGCCTCCCAATACTCAATAGATTAAGTGGACGTTTGGTTCATGGATTTATAATCATGATTCAGAATCATTCTCGTTTTACATGTGTTTTTTGTGAGAGAAAAATACTGTAGAGAACCATATATCATGATTCAGAATCAGAAACGAATACAGGAAACAAACATCTCTTAAATTCTTCTTTCCCTTTTCTTTTTTCATAGCAAACATAAAAAAAAATAAAAATTAAAATAACTTTCCATCACCATTCATTCCTCTTTCTCCACACCTTTTCGCTCCAACGAGCACACGCCTTACACCCTATCTCCAACGATCAACACTTTATATCCTAGGCAATGTGCCTCTGAACCCTAGGCAATGAGCCTTCAATCCCAGGTAATGCGCTTCCAATTCTTAGACAATATGCCTCCAATCACAAGATAATGCGCCTCCAATTCTCAAGTAATGTGCCTACGGCATGCGCCCTCTTCTCTCTACCGACATTGTCATCCATACGCTCTTGGGTCCTCTTCTCTCCATGAAAATGCAATATTAGCACCCATATGCTCTTCGCTCTCTCTTGACGATTGTCGTCTTAGCATCCATGCACCCTTCTCTCTCTTCTCCTCAACATTTTCAACCACCCGTCACTTATACATGTTTTTCTATCACGGTCTAAGATTAGATTCTCCAATCGGAACTCCATCTTGCGGGGCATAATAAAGATTATTTAACCTATTTAATTTAAATATTCATATTTATCTTATAATTATTTGTTCCTAATTTTTAAAAATTAGTTTTAATTATTAGTTATTAATTTATAAGTCTAGTTTAAATTATTTGAGTTAGATTAGTATTATATTCAAATTCAAACTCCTCGTGTAACTCTATAAATTTTGCATTCACATCAATGGAAAATTCGTACTATCATTCTCCAAAATCTAAATCTATTAACGTATTGTCGTAGTATTTAGAGTAGTTTTACTAAAATCTTGATAGTGGGACAAAATTAGATATTTCTTCAGTCGATACAAATGTGAAAAAAATAAAAATAAAAATGTTAGAAAAAAAAAAGAATATCTGTGGAAAATATTTGGGTTTTATTATCAGTAAAATAGAGTGAGAGAAAGAAGTCAAAGAACACACAGCACCTATATAGGTCAAATACGGACAGTTGGGCCGCACAGAATCTTGATGCTTCGGGAGAACAAATCAAAGAAAGCGTGTAATGTATATTGTCCATATGTATAAAAATGTTATAGCTATTCGAATCTACGATCTGAAAATAGAATGATGAAAAAAATAATAAAAAAAGAACTGAAATACATGATCACTATTCTGATATCTGAATCTAGATCCAGAATGATTAACTAATATAATTATTCAAAGTAAAACTTGTGATACGTATTAATATTAAAATTTTGCAGCATGAATATATTGGGATGGACGATCATGGTAGCTCTTGGCATCAATGCAGCAATAAGGTCAGTTTCACATAGAATCACAATCTTAATAACTGATTAATTTCCGTTCGACATTATATTGGAGAATGATTTATCTCTATAATATACATCCATCATTACAGAATTATGATCATTTTATTAAGTGTTGTGATTTTAGCGTGAGGGTATCAAATGAGCTAGGAGCAGCTCATCCACAAGCAGCGAAATTCTCGTTAGTGGTGGCAGTAATAACTGCATTCATTTTCGGTGTCGTAATGTCGCTTATCTTAATCATCACGCGAAACGAGTATCCATCCCTATTTTCGAACGACACAGAAGTCAAAGTTTTTGTTAGACAATTCACCCCGATTCTGGCTCTTTGCATTTTCATCGACAACGTCCAACCGGTTTTATCTGGTAATTAGAGTTTGGATATAATTGTACGTATATATAATACATACAAATATACTATCATTGTGTTTGTGTGTGTATACATGTGTGTATATATGCATGCAAGCATACATGTTACTATATCTTTGGTCATTTGATTAATTAAATGGTTTACGTTTTGGGTTTAATTCAGGGGTAGCCATTGGAGCGGGATGGCAAGCTTCAGTAGCTTATGTGAACATTGCTTGTTATTATCTATTTGGGATCCCTTTGGGTCTTCTAATGGGATTCAAGCTCAACATGGGTATTATAGTACGTACATAAACACCACTTTTTTATTTACTTAATTTTTAAGAAATAATAGCCACTTCTTGAACTAAGCAATTGTCAAGTTACAAGTTGAATTTAGGCTCCGTTTACTTCGCTTATTCGAGTTTAGAATTCGAGTTAAGATGTGACTTTATGTGAGAGCTTTTTACTGTAGTAAAAAAGTTAGATGTGGTTGTTTGTGAGAGCTTTTTACTGTAGAAAAATTTGAATTCTAAACTCGAATTAACGAAGTGAACGGAGCCTTAATGTATGTGTTCTATTCTTTAATTATTTATTTCTTTATTTTTTGTTGGAAGAGCTTATTTAATGTGGTTGGATGAAGAATGCTATCCATTCTTCAAAATGCCGTATTGCTTAATTAGAGACCAAAATGTTAACTTGCTTTCTTTTCTTTTTTTTTTTTTCTTGAAAAATTTTCAGGGAATTTGGTGGGGCATGATTTGCGGGACATTAGTTCAGACTTTTGTTCTTTTCCTGATGGTTTATAAAACCAATTGGAACAAAGAGGTAATGATCTACACAAACTCATGGTGTGCTAATTTCCCCATGTATATAGTTCATCCTATATCAGATTATTTGCTTCCGTCAACTTAATTCATTAGTTAAAACTATTCCGTTGACATAAATTTTTCCACAATGATATGACTAGTAAACTTAATTAATCTCAAATCTGGCATATGAAATACAGGCTTCTGTGGCTGGAGACAGGATAAGAAAATGGGGAGGTCACACAGATTCCCAACAAGACGATCTAGAAAGATGAAGAGCTAAGAGATATTTCGGTTTTCAAGTGATAAAACGTGACATTTATAAGGAGATTTTTAGCTATGCCGCCGGGAAAATATTGTTTGTCTTCAACGTTTATCATTGAGCGACAGCAAACCTAAATCCCCATGTAGAAAACGGCAATAAACCTAAATCCATCTTCTGTTCAATCCTAACTTCAATACGATTGACGGTAGTGAGGATATAACGGGCTTTCACTAACTTAGATCCCGTTCATTTCACCGATTCGAATTTAGAATTTGAGTTTTATTACAGTAAAAAGCTCTTAGAAACAGTCACATCTAACTTTTTTGCTATAGTAAAAAACTCTCACATAAAATTATATCTCAACTCGAATTAAAAATTTGAATCAGCGAACTAAACGGACCCTTAAGTTTTATTTGTTTTTCTCTATATATAAACCAACTTAAGCTGGTATTAGTATTCATCTGCAGGTCTTCTTTTTATTGGCTTCGTTTTTATTGCCTTTTTTTTCTATCGAATTTTATCAACTACTTCTTCATAATTAACTATATCTTTACATAACTCCGATCTTCATATTGGGATCCAAGATATTCAAACTATCCATGGTCGACGCTAAATGGCCACAAAAGTAGTGGTATTTTGTGATTTCTATTATTTCCCTGACAAATATTTCTAACTACCATCAAAATCTACAATACTAACTTTCAATTTTAATTCAACCGGCCAATTAAAATTTCATACTGACAAGAAAGACAACTATAAATCTAAATTACAAATGAAAATCACAAAATTTGAAGCTCTCGGAGCCGACAGGATATTTTCTTCTTTCTTCGTTCCTAATATTAACGTCTCCATTGCAGATTTTTCACTTCTGCTATGCGGAGACAGAAATATGTGAGGGTGGAATTTGAGAAAGAGAGGTCCTAAATAGGAGACAGAGGTTCACGGTTCCAACTTCGAAGAATCACGGAAAACAAGGAGTAAAAAGGGAAAGTGTTAATTGCCCGGACCTCTCATAAATGGTGGCCCCACTACATCCCACTTGATGTGATTGCTTAGTGATACTCTACTAAGAACGATGAAAGCTTCAACTTGGTTAATTTAAAATTTTAATTTAAATTAAAGATATAATTTTATTATAACAAAAACAAATTATAATAATTTTTTATTATAATAAAAAATAAATAAAATAAATAAATATAATTATTTTTTAAAATTTATATTATAATAAAATTTAAATTTTAAACTCAAATCGGTTAAAAAAACAATTACTCGTTTAATGAAAAACAAGGGTTTAAACACGTGATTGTGTTTGTCGATCGAGAAGATTTGTGTATTTAGAGAAGGAATCTTTGGGGTTGGGCACCATTATATATTCAATTAGAAGTGTCGTAATAAAAAAGCAGGTGCACGGGCAAAATCCCTAGTCAAACTTTAAGACATTGACGACAAAAATACCCAAAATACCCAATAATAATGATAATAAAAAAGGAAAGAAACTTCGCTTGTGTTGCAACGGAGATATCTATACAAGCCATAAGCCAAAAACTACTCTCTAGTGAAACGAAGAGAGAAGCTTAGAAATGATGAATGACAAGATTAATGAGCAACAGCAGTCCCTCCTTAAACCAACAAACCATTCAGTCAGTTCCTCCTTCACCACGGACACCGACGACACCCCGCCGATCGACGGCGTCCGCGACTTCTGCAGAGAGTTCTCCAAAGAGTTCAAGAAGCTCGGGTACCTGGCCGGCCCCGCCATCTTCACCTACGTATTCCAATACTCCCTATGCGCCGTCTCTCAAGTCTTCGCCGGCAACGTCAGCACTCTAGCCCTAGCCGCCTTCTCCGTCGAGAACTCCGTCATTGCCGGCTTCTCCTATGGCATCATGGTAACAAAAAACATAATAATAAAAGAAATTTCAACCGTCAGATTTTTGTTTTGATGAAGTTTGTTTTGATTTTGGAAGCTCGGCATGGGAAGCGCGCTGGACACTCTTTGCGGGCAAGCGTTTGGGGCGGGTCAAGTAAATATGCTGGGGATTTACATGCAGAGGTCGTGGGTGATTCTTAATACGACCGGTCTACTCTTGTCGTTTCTATATATATTTGCGGAGCCGCTGCTGAAGCTGATCGGCCAGACGCCGGAGATATCGAAGACGGCTGGAATGTTGTCCATCTGGATGATCCCTCAGCTGTTAGCTTACGCCATGAATATTCCGATCACCAAGTTCTTGCAGGCGCAGAGTAAGATCATGGTTATGGCGGCGGCGGCGGCGATGGCTCTAGTGCTGCACACCTTCTTCAGCTGGCTGCTGATTCTGAAGCTCGGGTGGGGCCTTGCCGGCGCCGCCGTGGTGCTGAACTCGTCGTGGTGGTTCATAGTGGTGGCTCAGCTTGTTTATATCTTTAGTGGGAATTGTGGGAGAGCTTGGTCTGGGTTTTCATGGAAGGCGTTTCAGAATCTCTGGGGCTTTGTTAAGTTGTCTGTTGCATCAGCCGTCATGCTCTGGTAAGACAACTTTTTACCAGTTGACCTAATCTCTATTTGACTTGTGTCGTTTACAGTTTTTTTTGTTTTTTTTGTTTTTTTTTTTTCTCTCCTTTTTGAGGGTTATTATAAAGTTAGTGGGTGATGATAAAGTTACTGGAGTTGTATGATTTCATCCAACATGTAAGAGCACCTCGAATGTAATGTCATCATTAATGTGTCAATTATAAATTTAGTATTTAAATGTAAAAAAATACTATTTATTTTGTTAAATTTTTCATAAGTTAAATACTTTGTGGTAAATTTCTCACTATATAACATATGCGCAATTAGTATTTAATTGTTATTAGTTGAAATATTTACTTTTTCATATAATTAAAATAAAATTTGCACTTTTTAATTATTTTAAAATTAAAAATTTATTTTTATAACTTTCAAAGCTTAATAATTATGAGAAAAAGTAGATTGAACATTTCACATAGCATTATGCATTAGAACAAACATGAAAATAACATTCTATGTCATAATTTTTGGTGCTAAATATACAACTAATAGTAATATTTACATTGAAGGTGGTCTAACTAATTAGCTAAACGAGTTTGCTAGGTTCCATCTTTATACATACCATATATAGAGAGAGAGAATTTCCTTCGTAAAGCTTTTCTTTTCTGATCCAGTAATATGTATGTTTATATTTTATAGAAGTACGTCCTGTCGTCCTGATAAATGTTGGGATAGTCTTTTGGTCGATTGTGACTACTTCAACAATAAATTTTTTTTTTTCTGTCTCTCTTATTCGGCTGGTTTTCTTTTTTTCTTTGAGGCGCAGTTTCCACTGTCACAAAAACGTTTGGATTTCTTTGATTTGTTTATAATATATATGGTTCGGTTAATGTTAATTTACATTTCTATACATGATTATATAATGATGTAACTGATGCAGCTTGCAAACGTGGTACTTTATGGCAACTATTCTATTTACTAGTTATCTAAAGAATGCACAAGTTTCGTTGGATGCCCTGTCCATATGGTAAGCATGATTAGCTTTTTTATGAATTGTACTATTTTTTGTTTACTTATTTGAAAGGAGCAAAACTTAACCTTATACATATATTTTTAATTTTGATGTGACTTTGACAAGATTTAAAGTTTAATTAACAAATGCAATGCTACTAGATAATCCTACAACTCAGCGTGTGGCAAGCTCCGATTGAAAAATAAAGAATAACCACTCAAGGTGTGTTTGGTCGGAGGGAATGGAAATGAATCAAGGTTCATTCTCATGTTTAGTTGGTTTTAAGAAAAGGAATGGTCATTCAAAATGGAATGAGTTTTTCATCAAATAGGTGAATCGTCATTCCTCTCTCATATGAGAGGAATGCCCATTCCAAGCTCTTTTAATTTTTTTTCCATCATTACCCTTAAATATTATAATTATTAATATTATAATATTAATATCTATAATATAATTAATATTATATTATAATAATTTATATTATAATGTAATTATATCTTATAACATAT